TTTATGATTTCCGTAATGTTGAAATACACCAAGTCAAAAAAAGAGGTAATATACCCATCTCAACTACATTTTGATAATATTTGAAACAGTTTTATTGATTAATCTGGATGTAAAAAAAAATATGATACTAATAAAGGTAGGAAGATGGTATTTATAAAAATTCAATTTCTGTTCCTACGACTATTCTTGCTAAAAAATACACTATATTCTTTTAAAGCCATGTGCATAGTTTTATTTGTTAGTAGCATGAACGCTTTTAAAACGGGAAAATGTTACTAAAATCGTTTAATTTAGTTCGTAAAAAAAGAAACCTAATAGGAACAAAAACTTGGTAACCAACTACAAGAAAAAAATAAAAAGGGAAAGCAATTGAGAAATGATACCTTGGAAGCATCATTTTTACAGTTTTCATTTGCCACAAAATACAGAATTTAGTTACAGACCCTGAAACGTGCTACTACCCCAAAAAAGCGTGTAACTTTCGTGCGCTTTTCGTTTCGTACAAACCGTGTAGCGTTTCGTGTAAACCGTGCAGCCTTTCGTGCAAACCGTGTAGCGTTTCGTGTAAACCGTGCAGCCTTTCGTGTAAGCTCCAAACCGTTTCGTGCAAACCGTGTAGTGAGCGTGCGAGAAGCGTGTGAGAAACGTGCGACTTTCGTGTAAGAACCGTGTGAGAAACGTGCGACTTTCGTGTAAGAACCGTGTGAGAAACGTGCGACTTTCGTGCAAGAATCGTGTGAGAAACGTGTAGGATTCATTCGGAAGTCATTTCATTTTAAATATGGCTATCGATGGGTCAGGATGTCAAATAGTGTTGTTTATAGCTAGTATTATTCGGAGATATTATACTGGATGTATTTTAAGAGCGAAATTTAAAAAAAAAAGTATGAGAGCAACAAAATAAAATTACACGGTAATGTATATTTAATTTGTTTTTCTTATTTTTTTTTCTCTCAAAAACAAAGATGGACAGGAAATTTATTCAAACTAATTACATGTAATAACAGTTTATGTGCAACATTTTTAATGAATTGATTTTAATGCACAATTGGAGTGATCTTATCTTTTTTATTTTATTTTCCAAAGAGAGCAACAAACGAAATTTCAAACGAAATTTTATCAGAACTCCGCTCTTGTCTATTTATTACCAGATTGTATTAAATAATTTTAATCAAAACTGTGTGTCATTAATAGTCTTCTAACACATAGCATTGGTTGATTGATAATTGAAAATATGAGTATAATTCACAAGCATTTACGAACGCAGGATTAGAAATTACCGAGGGGGGGGGGGGGGCATTTCAAACACGCAAGCTTTAAATTTCAATATTTGTCGGTACCGGGTGTTAAAAAGCATAATTGACTCTCTTTTGTATAAAGAAATAAATACTTAATTTATATTGTGCATCGGATGCATTTGGAATATTGAAATCTTCAACTTCCCATTTGCAACGTGCGAATGTGATCAAGGTCATTTACGACAGCGACCACATGCTCCACGGGCAGGGAACTGAAAACTTGTTCTGCTTTTATCTTTTATCAATCATGTCTAAAATACACCTGAGAATAAGGATTGAGTTTAAATTTGTGATATTAAATGCTTTTTTTATTTAATTGGTACACATACTACCCGTGGATTTTATTTTTAATCGACCCGAATTTCCGTGATCAGTGAATTGTTCGGCAGTCACAATAAAAAAAGATTTTAGAAATAAATTATAAATACCAATTACATATCAGTTGTTTTATAAATCAGGCAGCTTTAATTTGTATATTTTAAAATATTTGAGTTTTCATGTAATGTACTTGGACATGTATACACAAATATTGCATGGTAAGTTGTGCCGTGACTATTTGTAAATTACATAAAATTTCCCCTTAACCGAGTTTTATAATGAAGGAATTTTCAAGGTGATGGGTATATGTATATTGTTGTCATTTTACCACCCTCCCCGCGGGTTTTTCTTCCATTCTTCCATATAGAATTCTAGTGTTAAATTAAACTCTAAATAAAACGTTTAAACGTTAAAACTACCATTTGGTATAAAATGTTTTATTTTATTAAATCTCGCTGGAGACATGAATATTTTTAAGCACAGTTACTTCGTTTCTCTAATAATTTTTTTCCCGATAGTATTATTACTGAAACGACTGTCGGTGGTCTTTAGCCATGTCAGATTTACAGATACACAAGTAAGATCTCGGTAATCCCCCCTCCTCGCCCACGACCAACAGAGAGAAAGAAAGAAAATGCATAATCATCCTCTTTTCTGCAATGTACTTATTAATTTTGCATATCAAAGAGGTGAACCTGAATTAAATAAATTCGTTTACGGAAATAAACATAATACAATATTTATTAAAATTAATTACTAAAGTTATATTTCGCTAATAAACGAGATTTTAATATAATACTTAAAAAAATTATGCCGAAAGAAATTATGAGGGACAAATATAAATGTTTCTCTTGCAGTGTAAAATTTAGAGAGAAAAAAAGATGTACACTGACGATGATGGACATATCACCTTAAAACAAGCGGATTACAAACGGAAAGACAATCATGAATTATTAACTACTAAACCTTGAATATTTCTATCAGTTTATAAACATGTAGTACAGGTGTAGCGAGTTTTAATTTAAAACGTACGGTGAAAGATTGCGACTCTTAATTAATCTATATTTAACCCGTAAAAAAATAGATAATGCCTGAGAGATTCCGAATAGAAAATCCAGATCGAGGCCAAAGCGTGCAAGAATCGTGTACAAAGCGTGTGAGAAACGTGTAGAAACGTTTCGTGCAGCCTTTCGTGTAAACCGTCCAGCCTTTCGTGCAAACCGTGTAGCGTTTCGTGTAAACCGTGCAGCGTTTCGTGCAAACCGTGTAGCGAGCGTGTACCGTTCGTGCAGCGTGCGTGTGGGGTAGTAGCACGTTTCAGGGTCTGTACCTAATCAACTGATATGTTGAAGAAAGATGTTGACAAAATAATTCTATCTTATCATATCTTACCTTTTGAAATGCACATTTACATATAGTTTGCAACCTCAAGGGTGAGGTTTCAAAATGTAGAGGAAAAAATCGCAATAAATTTCGTCGTATAATTAGTTATTATATATATATATATATATATATATATATATATATATATATATATATATATATATATATATATATATATATATATATATATATATATATATATATATATATATATATATATATATATTCTTCACTAGAGTGAACTATTAAGTATGAATTTAGTTTGATTGTTTAATGTTATATTGGGGAATATATAATGTTGTGCATATAACAACATTTAAAATAATAATAATCAATTCAAAAAAATAATGAGTAAAATGTGCTCTGAACGTGTATAAATTTGGACTTCAAAAAATGGTATCGATGGAAGATATGATGGAAGAAAACATCCCAGAAAGTCAACGCTAACAGATCCAAAATGCTTTAAGAAAAAAAAAAATATTAGAAATGCTTGCTTTTTGTATCTACGGAAATAACTGGAACTTAAGTAAACTGTTATAGCAGGATAAAGTTCGTTTGTGGTAACAGCTCATTCAAGGTTACGATGATACAAATCGCTTTGAGCTCTTTGATTGGGGGACTACCCCTTTAATGTTAAGTACATAAACTAACTGAACATTTTAACACTGTCATTTAAAGTAAAGTGGCTGTAGGATTTTTCGTCATTTTTCATGAGCATGCTTTGCAGATAATTTTGAAAAAAAAGTCTTTAAAGAAGGAGCAATAATAACATCCGATGTTATTTGTCAAATTTTATCATCTCTTTAAAAGAATGATTTTTGCTACTAGCTATAAAAATAATTGGCTTGGTGAAAAATGCGGAGGATAGAGACTCAAAAATGGAGTGTCACAAAGAGCAAAGGGTGGATCCTCTTGTGTAAATGTCAACAATTTTGAATATAGGTTTAAGGCACTGAAACATAAATTAATCTGTCAAGATTTCATAAGTTACTGTAGGATAGCAGTGCGGGACACAAATCTTACAGATGTTTCTGTTGCACTGGTTATCTGTTATCTAACAAAATTTAAATCAAAAGCACAGACTGCATGCCTCTATTGTTTTAAGAATATCAAAGTCATTCTTGACTATTTCTCATTTTCTTGTTTCTAAATCGTTTCTAATTCTTTGAGAAAAGAAAATGACAGCAGCAATACACTAAAGAATAATGTTGATGTTGTTTCTGTTTTATTCAGTCTCCGTTATCTTAAAACTTTTAATCCAAAAAAAAAAAAAAAAAAAAAAAAAAAAAACCTTTTCCCCTAGTTGACATGTGAAGGTAATAAAATGTTTCACTGTTTCCAGGCTGTTTCTCATTATATACTCCAAAATATTGTCAAATTGTCTACACAAAATTGTGTTTTGGGATAAAATAGATTCTTTTAATTGTTTGTTGATGAGACACTCTAACAACTTCTCATGAAAAATGATAAACTGAGTTTACATATCTTACAAGCAACTGCTAAAATTGCAACACAATCCCCACCTTCTTGAATCGTATGACTCAAGAAGCTCAACTCCTTGCACGTTGCGTTGCTACATTTAGAGTTTCCATCCTCCGTATTTTACACCAAATCAAAACAATTGGCGGGTGCCGATTTACTTTAAACTTTAAATAGAAATTAGAGGGAAATAAATTTCATGTAATAAATTGCGTCTTCCTCCATCCGATCCTACCATAATTACTGTTTCAAATTGTATTTTCATGGTTTTTGAAGTAAGATTAAAGTTTTCAAAGAGGACAATGTTGGAACGAAAGGGTAAAGACATGTTGGTTAACAAGGAAAAACATGGGTGATATTGTAATACTGAAAGTGTGAATGGAATAAAAAAAATTGTTCTAATAAAGAAAAATAAGATTTCCCCGAATAAAGGAAATGCAAATTTTAATGACCCAATTATATTTTGATCGTTTTTTTTATATTTCCGTGAAACTCAAACCTTTCAACCGATGTCAGAGAGAAATGCCAGCATGTCCAAGTGCTGGTATTATTTTGGTTTTATTGTTATATTTACAAACACTTGCAGCGAAAGGTATAACACCGGAGCCTCAGAGATGTGACGGGTAAGTTTTCACTTTGAAATTCATTGGACTATTGCATATCAATTCTATACATAATATTTTTCCAGATAAAACTAAAATTTCAATTCTGTCCGACCATCAGCCTAAATCATTTTTATAAACTTATAGCTAGATCAAAACTATTCGCTCTTCATCTTACCACAGAAAAAAAAGCTTTTTTGAGAAGTATAAAAAAAAAAAAATGTCTAAATATCCCAAATAGCACTGTGTCACAAAATGGATCTTTGCTTTTTATAAATCAATAATTTGATGAAGGTTGATGGAAACAATGAGAGAAAAGTTTGACGCTTCAATCGAATATCAAAAAAATACATAATCTGAAGTCGTAAATGTGATCTACAGTGCTTCATCTGCATGTCATTAAAATACAATGCTGCCTTTTATATCGATTCTTGTAGCTTTTTTCTACCTTATAAACTTCATGAAACTTTGAATTGAACATCCTTATCAGCATTTTTTTTTCTATCTTCCACTCGCGAATTCAAAATTTTGCTTATAATAGTAAGACACTTAATCTTTTACTTTGACATTTACAAATAAAATATATTTATATTTGCTGGCTAAAATTATAATTAAATAATTAGAAAAAATATGCCTTTTCAGAAGTTAACATGAATTTTAGAGGAGATTAGATTTCTTTTCCAAATAAGAATAAGAACATAAAATGTCAAAATATGAATAACCAGATTGAGTGCATTCTTAAAAAGTTACCCATGCACTTAAATAACTTCATGTACAAATGTCCTACATGTATATGAATACAAAATGGTATAGCAAGTTTTATTGCTTTATGTGCTAAAAGTCATAAACCGACTATAATTAGTAATTCAATATATCAATAAAACATTTTCTCCTATTTTCGAGCATATAATACCTTATAAAGGATATAAAAAAGAGGAAAATTTATGAACCTCTAAGCAAGGTGATTGCAAGGAAAATATACATTTTATATCATTAGTAAATATTTTATTTAATGGCGTAATAGCATTGAAAGATCCGATTTAAAGTTTTCCGTCTTCGGGTAAATCTATACCCGTTTATGTACTAATATTTAAAGCAAAAATGAAAATGTTTGGGTTGAATTCAAATTCCATTATTTTGATAAAACAAAAATGCATTTTATATTTAAAAAAATATATATATTACAAAATTTTGTATTCTGTTGGTTCTTTGAAAATTTCGCATCGAGTTAAAAAAAAAAGTCATCGCCATAGACGTAATAACAAAATCCAAGGTTTAAAATTTATCAATGTATTTCCCTTTTTTGCTGAAATCAAAGTTCATGACTAGGGTTCTACTTTTGAATATATTCCTGCTCTCTTGTTTCCGAGAATCTGATGATATATAAATATTTTTCCCGCTTCTGCCATTGGTTGGGTTCTGTCATGCCTTTATATTTGTTCCTCATTCCTTTTCAAATATCTTCTTTAAAAGAGACTTTCCATTTCGGGAAAGTCCTCTGGTACTTGTAGATAAACGACCTAAAAACTGTTGGTTTGTTTCAAGTTTGTTGAAACGCAAGCTCAAATACTAATCGGAATTTACTGAGGGCTTTTCAGAAATGAGCGTTCTTAGAAATCAATTGACCTCGCGGTTTTGCAACAAAAATTAAAAAAAAACGTCATTTAACCAAAAAGAAAAAAGAAAAAAAAAAAAGAAATTGAAAATATTGCATTAGTTTAGAATCTTGGGTCCTATTTTGAAATAGGCTATTAATGATTGATTTAACAATTATAGAACAATTCTATTAAAGAGAAATAATTAAGATAAATTAATTAAAACATTAAAAAGAAAATTTCAAGATTTACTCAAATTTCTATTGATTTATTGTTGTTTTACATCTCATTCGATAAACTTTACTTATATATAGACGTCCAGATATACCGGTGAAGAGATTTTATTTGTTTTACTTATACTTGACTTTAAGGACCATGGTGAAGTGAGGGTTCCTTTTCGTATCATCGTCTACCGTTACCTCGGTTTTTAAAGCCCCATTTAAACAATCAGTGGTGTCTATTGCCGGACTCTTGACAAAAGAACAGTCATTAACTATTATCACGTCTTTGGTCTGACGCGGCGCGGAGAACGAGTATCGAACCCGTGCCTCCCAATCACGAAGCTTCTATAAAAAAAAAAAAAAAAAAAAAAAAATCAGTACTCAGTGCCCTCATTTCCAGGTCTTATCATGATTGAAAACATTCTCGATTGCAGGTGAAACAAACAACAAATTATGCTTGAGAAAACATTTGTGTGTTGTCCTGTATGCCTTATTAACCTTACTTATATATACTCAATTATATGTAACTGCAAAATTATGTTATTTAAATTTTTAACTAGTTTTTAATGTAAATATAACCGTGAAATATTATATCATAGAAATAAAGCATAAAACAGACCTGTTAATATCAGGAATTATTTTTTCGTTAACACTTTATATATGTAATTCATGTGTAATTTAATGCTTAGAATGTTTGATGTCATTTGATTAATTTATCCATTTATTTTCACAAAAGGAAAAATAAATGCTGCTTCGGCTATACATGGGATGAAGAACTGCAGGACTGTATCAGTAAATACTTTTACGAACATATAATATATGCATGTACTTTTTTGGCATTACATGCTTATGCTGTTTCAAATATTGTAAAAATGCCAGTATCGATCTTAGTAAAAATAACTACAAGATATAATAATTGTTATTTGAAATGATAAATTACTATGTATTTCAAAACAGACTTGTTTTTTCCTATTTTGAAAGTTCTCCGTTTGCAAAATCAAAGAGGCTGTAACTACTCGAACATTTTTCTATTTTTATTAATTGACTTTCTTTTTTCCAGAGTGTAGCATAGGGTACTTCGATGTTTACTGTAATAGGACATGTCCATATCCATATTACGGAATAGACTGTGATGAAAAATGCCAATGTGAACAACAAACATGTAACTTTATCACTGGTTGTTTAGGTACATTTTATACATATTTGATGTATCTTGTCAGTAGATATAAAATAAATTTCTGGCCTTAAAACATTTTTTTTAATATAGATAATTTCTGAAATCATTTTGGTAACCAAACAAAATTATCATCATATGTATTAAAGTATTATACGAACATGGAATTTAATGTAATCTCAAGATATTTAGAATCAAAATTTTGAGTTAAGTCTATTCTTAGTTTATGGTCTTTGGGTCTGATTTCTATGGTATGAGATGTTGAAATTTAATTTCAGACAACGCATCAGATATCCACTCCGCAACCAATCAGTCATCCACAGACAGCCATGACTTCTCCACCACTGCTACGTCATCATCTACAGAAAGCAAATTATCTTTAAAAAGCGTCCAGTCTTCTTCTTTAGTTAATCAAATTATTTCGTTTTCGCTTCGTGATTTCCTTCTCTTTATTGCTGGAGTATTAGTTGTATTCACTTTGTTCACAGCATTCAATGTATTAATATGTAAATGGCGTTCTAGAGGAAATTATGCAATTTTTAATAAGAATGAACAAAAATGTGCATTGATTGAATCGAAGGATACTGTTAGAACTGTATGCAGAGGAAATACGAAAATCATAATATCACACTGCACAGAAAATAACTCCTGCTTCTTGGAAATAAGTACAAACAAGGACAACAGGAAAAACAAAGATAATTGCTATTCAAACAGTGATGTTGATAAGGAAGAGAATGAAAAAAATAAAAAAGATGACTCGATAGTTGACCATACCGCATTACATCTATGCACAATAAAACCACAGGGACGAGAAGAAACGTTTTGCAATTCAAGTCAATGTTCCCAATGTGAGGACGACTGCGACACTGATGTAAAAGAACTCTCTGACAGCAATCAGTTCTCCACTACCTCGAAAGTCCCATACGAAAACGAATACATTAGTGTTTCCTGCGGCCCAGAATATGAAAGTTAGCTATCTCATAATTCTGAATTCTGAAAAATCTATTTAGTCCTTTTCTTTGATTTTGTTTTTACTTATATTGTAATACGTGTATTTTTTTCCCCCTTTTTTGTGCCTAAATATTTTAATAGGTGAAAAGTAAAAATTACGACAATGCTCATGTCCAATAGTCTAACTCGACATTAAATATTAGAAGTAGAACACACATGGACCCCTAAAAACAACAGAATAACGATCAGAATACATGAAGGAGGAAACAGTCCCTGTCGCCTGCTCAAATTTGGTCTTATCCCTTTGTCTCTTCTCCGGTAAAGATTTAGTTATCCGTCGATAAATTGTTATGATAAAGATCAAAGGTGAAATAAATTAATACCCCCTTCCGGTTGACTATTTTTTTTTTTTTTGGTGCTATAAACATGATATAAAAGTGGTAGAAAAGGATCAACACACGATTTATTTCCTAAATTGTAATTTGTGATCAAGTAATTAATTAAATTTATTACATTGATTTTCTTTTACACATATTTTTCTTATATATATATATATATATATATATATATATATATATATATATATATATATATATATATATATATATATATATATATATATATATATATATATCCAAAATTGAAATAAAGTCTCAGTAATCGGATTACAATATTAAACAAATATAAAAAGAAAACACAAGAATCCTCCGTAAAGCTTTAGCGCTTTCATTAAAAATCTTCAGAAGCTTTACATTACAAAAATGTATACAACGGTAACATAGTAACAATGATTATGACGTTAAACTAAGCGGAACGTTTAATGTCTATATTGTGACGTCATAGATAAAATACTGCAATGATGATGAAAAAGTTCGGGAAAATCATCGGTAGTTTATAAGAGACTATTAAGTTTTGGCTTTAGAATACAAATAAAATGTTTTTCTTTTTCCCGTCTCTGGATATCACTGGCACATCTGAGTTTATAAAAAGGGAAAATGTTAAATCGTTTTTTTCCACAAGTTTCCAGGTGTGCACTTAACTGGATTTGTCTATATTCAGGTGTACTGATGTGTTGCTTATGTACACGTACACGGGCACGGAGACTGTTGCCAGTTTCACCAATATAATATTCTTTGCATCCAGGACATATGATGGCGTATATGACATCTTTCGTATCACATGACATGTTGGCATTAACTTTAAATTCACGCCCGTTAAAACTATAACTCGTCCCTTCTGTAATGTAGTCACATGTGCCGCAGCGAGGGTCCGTACACTTTGACACTGTATAATTATGGTCAGCGAATTGGGAGGAACAAAGTATTCTCTTAAGGTTTTTAGGCTGACGTTTACTGCTGATAAAACGACAGTTTTTGTATGTAGTTTTCGTTTGTTCATCCTCTCTAAGTAAGCTATTTAATTCATAAACAATAAACAACAAATATAGACATTAAACGTTCCGCTTAGTTTAACGTCATAATCATTATATATATATATATATATATATATATATATATATATATATATATATATATATATATATATATATATATATATCAGGATTTTGCACACTCCTTCAACTTACTACTGCTAGTATAGGTTTTTTTTAACCTAATTCACAAACACCCACATATTTATTCTGATAGGATTGCATACAAAAGAAGGAAGAGGGAAAAAAAATGGCGAAATGGAAGGGTTACTCTGACTATTATTATACAAAGTTTAGAAAAAATAATATTATGTAGTGACATTTTTGGTTTCAAAGATTAAGCACCATCTAGTTGATTTTTTTTTTTTTCATTTCTTTCATTTTGTATATTTTCCTTTTAAAAACCAATTTGAAACTCCCCATTGCACAAAAGTTTTTAAATATACATAATATATAAACATATATACACACCCCTTCTGAATGTTACAGTAATGGTAGAATAAAAAAACAAGTGCAAAAAATAAAAAGAAGAGATTTAAACAATACATCATCCGATTCATACTGGTATACACACTCTTTACCATTCAGCTTTGTAAAGGCCTTCCATTCTTGGGTGAAAAAACTAATACAGTTGTTTTTCAATGATCTTTGTCTTTCAGATTAATGCACATTGGTCCAGATAGCTTTAAATGTGTTTAAGATAAAGGATTTCTTTTGATTTTGAACAATATTTATGATATTTCAAATGAAAATTCTAAACATTATTAATTACCTTTTCAGCACAAACTTTTTTTTTTTTATCAATCACAATATTATATTAAAAACACATCTTCTAAGATCTTGCATACTGAGTTGAGTGTTCCTATCAAATGAGACAGTTTTTTTTTTCTCATTGAAGTCTAATGAAAGAAGGATACTCTAAAATATGTGAACTCGTAAAATATTTGGGACTCATCTTTTGTCTATGTTATATATTAAATTTACTTCAAGGCCATTCTAGTATTGTTGTTATTGACCTAACTAGATGACAATAAAGAAACACACACGTTTAAAACTTCGGCTTTACGACAAAAAACAAAATACGAAGATATTTAGGTTCAGATTTAAAATGTATTGATTTATATTGTCCATAAAATTACATTTTTCAGATACATGCTGACCTTACCATAATGCTAAATTTAATTTATATAGTTTTTTTTTCTTTCATTCTTCTTGAAATGTTTTTATTAAATAATGCAAATATTTTATAATCAAATACTGACTTTTTTCTTACTTTACAAGTTATTTTATTAAATGTTTTTGCTAGTATGTAGTGGGAAAAATATGAAGATAAACGGGACAGCTGCACTTTACCAGTAAGTAAAATTATAAAGAAAGAAGCACGTGCTTGTCGTCTATATATCAGGCACGCGTCAGAGTGCCGATTTCGCTTAAAAATCATTCTCCCCCCAAATAGTCATTAAATGGTGTATTTTTTTTTCCAGGCATTTAACCATCCCTTTACAAATTTTGAAATTATTTCTTATGATTAGATGCTTTCTTAATATATCTTTTATTCATCAAACTTTGCCGGAAATATTATTTGAAGAATAGAAGTTGAAATTCTATCCTCTCTCTTCTATCTAATTTCAACTTACAATCATCATTTTGATAACAACATATTTTAACAGACCTATTTCTTTCTTGCATTATTTTCGATTTATTTGGATATCATTTGTATTTTTTTTTTTTTTTTGGGGGGGGGGGGGGGGGGTTCTACTTTAATCAATATATATACAATTTACGCAGACGAACACATAACACAGAGAGATTTCCAAATCCACCAGTCGCTTAAATGTTGCATAACTGACTGCTTTTGATATTCCATGAGTGCCTTCTCTGTCACTCGTCGTGTCATACACAGCAGGGACACGGAAGTGACACCCATTGTGTCTCAATTTCTTGCTTCCGTACATTTTACGTATGCATTACGGCGCTTCCGGTTGTGTATAATGCCCATCATAGTTTTTTTTAAACATGTCACTGTATTCAATAATTCTGTAATCAAGCATAGCAGAGCAATCAGACAAATTATTTTCGAACCATTTCGAATACATTAATGATAAAATTCAATAATTTTTCTATATCCCCTGACGGCATGTAATTTCTTTTATATATATTTTTATAAGTGCAAGCAACAGGAAAACAAGACTGACTCACTAAAAATGACAGATTGTAAATAAAATTAATCTAAGAAATAAAATTCCAAACTGATATAAACATGCTCAATCTGTTACATGATATATATATATATATATATATATATATATATATATATATATATATATATATATATATATATATATATATATATATATATATATATATATATATATATTTAGTTTTGATTGTTAGGATTTTATTTGAGGTATTTAATGTACAATCTTAGGCTTGTTTCAATTAACTCCAACAATACGCTTCACTAAAAGTATTTCTGTTGTTTCCTTCACAAATCAACTTGTACACTCTTGTGCATTTTATTCGTACATTATGTCCTTATTTACTTATATAGATTGTTGATTGTCTGCACTTCTGCTAAAATCAACGGAATATTTTTTTTCACTGGAGAGACTGCACGTAATAATGCACAGCATTGATTAAGGAAGCGATTTGTGGAAAAAAAATTGTTCCTTCTGGGATGAAAGTTATAAATTTCTTTAAAGATGGGATTCCCTCTCCCTCGCTCTATACTATTCGTTTAATAATTTGCTAAAACCTTAACATTGACAAGCAGTGTATCAATCATGACATACATGGAAAAATCCTATGTCTTTTTTAATTTTTTTTTTAGGTGATCAAGTATTTTCTTGCACGAAAAATCACATTGTTCTTTGTATGATATTTAGAATGAATGTATTTTTATTTTTGTATTCTCTTCTTTTGATAATTTTTCACTCATATTGGGACGCCACAATTGCCCTTTAAAAGCTTCGAATTTCAACCTACACCTACATGTACATGTACGGCCATGCAGCAGTGAAGGATCCTCCTTATGCGGCAGCATTTAAAAGCATTGAATAACCTTTGTCCTGCAGATTTTTTCTGAGTCTGCACTTATAAGCACTGTGCAGTGAGGTACATGTATATCTTTCTAAAGGAAATTTTGACCTGTTCTATACACTTCTGATCATTAAGGGATCTGTTTCGTTCCCGCAACTACTGCGACAGATTACCTTGGTTTATACTGCCTCATCCTAAGGTCGGTCTCCATGTCCAATGTATTAGGCTCTTAACACCGCATTTCCGATATGAACGGATACTTCTATATTCTCTGCATCAAGTAATGAACGACAGAAATTGCATATTTCAGATAAGTATTATGAAGATTGGATATGAAACTTGTCGTTCTAAGGCGGTTTTATCGTATGCGAAGGTCAACTTGTGGGACATTTTATTTATCGGAACGTATCCACTAACATTTGTCAAAAATAATTTTATCATGTTTATAGTACATTTTCTAAATTGTAATCTGATATAGCTTTAAAAACTTTTTTATGAATTTTATATATCCGTTTGACGCCGAGGAAAAAAATACGTCGACCAATTATTTAAAT